TGGACTTGAGACATGTTCAGGGTGTACCCCMCCCCTTGCACAGTGACTATTTAGTATCTGTTACCATTTTTTAAACAGTTTGTAAGAATGGGCAATATGGCTGAAAAATATTTCATGATGTAAGTGTTTCAWATCAGCCTATCCATCTGTCTTTTTCCTCTTATCGGATCGGGTCGCGGGGGAAGAAGCCTAAACAAAGAGARCCAGACTTTTCTCTCCCCAGCCACTTGGACCAGCTCCTCTGGGGGAATCCCAATGTGTTCCCAGGCCAGTTAAGAAACATAGTCCCTCCAGCTTGTCCTGGGTCTTCCTCTGGGCCTCCTCCCAGTGGATGTGCCCAGAACATCTCACCAGGGAGGCATCCAGGAGGCATCCTWACCAGATGAACCACCTCAACTGGCTCCTCTCGACGTGGAGGAGCAGCGGCTCTACTCTGAGTCCCTCCCACATGATTGGGCTTCTCACACTAACTCTAAGGGAATGTGTTGACTGGTAAATCGACACCACGACAGATCACTACAAAACTCATATCACTGCATCAACCCACCTATTAATCTCCTGCTCCATTTTTTCYTCATTTTTTTGAGATACMTAAACTCCTCCACTTGGGGCAGGACCTCTTTTCCGACCTGGACAAGGCAATCCAGCCTCTTTCGGCTCAAGACCATCATCTCGATCGGTTTTGGGTTTTTGTTTTACCTATTTAAAAAAGGACCAGAAGAAAAAAGACTGATTAATACTGCCAGACTGATGATGTGACCTTTCCTCCCACAGTTTCCTCTTGTGCTATTGCTCTCATTTCTCATTTCAGTCCAAGTTATTTTTTATTTTTAAGCATTTATGATGCACGGTGGTGAAACATGAAAAGGCTACTAWACATGTTACTCAACAGGTTGTTGCCGCTGACCAGAGAGTGAGAAAGCCGTGAGAGGTCTGGCAGCTTGAGTCTTTCCTTAATCCAACAATTTTCCTGTCTATCATGATATATATATATATTGTTTTTGTTTTATTGCCCAGCCCTAYAAGTT